TCTGTTGAAACTTTTTTCTTATTATGAACAAGTATCAATCATCCTAATGCAATTAGGTAAAGACACCTTGACAAAAGGCCCTCATGTTCTCCACTATTTAATGTAGCCACACTTAGTAGGAATTTTTAAAATAGCGTTTTCTCTGTGGTGTTAATTAAAAAAAAAAAATGTGTGTGGGCAGGTTAGGTATTGTCTAAAAAAAAAACAGTAATATGCAATTGTAAGTGGAATAGCATTCTAAAATGTGAAAAAAGGATTTAATTAAAATTTGACACATTATTTGGATAACAAAGGTTAAAGTGAGATTTTTAGCTGTGTTTCTTAGAATCTAATGTCTTATAACTCAGAATAATTCACTAACAATCTACCAAAAAAAAAAGGTTAGCTATGATGTAAGATAATTTTGATAACAATATTTTTTTAAAAAAAAAAAGTAGAATGGCAGATTTTTGAGAGTTCAAGATAAAACTTCAGTAATATTTTTGTTTTGGGCCATGTTAAAACAGCAAAACCTTTACAGTTAGTTGAATCTTCAAAATACAGTTTTCTCAAATAGCAGGTCAGACCAGGTCACTGATCTGTAAGAAATCATACCACAGCAATGTAGTTACCTGAAAGTAATTACTGAGTTCAGTTCCTAAACATGGTTTATTTCCTCTCATCATATTAGCAACTTAATAATTTACTTTGATGGGTTTGATCAACTCTTATACTTCCAAACAACAAACAGGATCCAACTTTTGTATCAAATTAATAAAGGTAATGTATGTTTTAAGAAATTGAGGACAGAGTTAAATATAAATAAATATGCAAGAAGTCAAATAAGTGTGCGTGTGTATAGGACTTTAATTTTGGAAACACATACACACACCCTTCTAGCTATTCACTTAAAAAGCTACCCAATATTTTGTTTCTACCATGTCCACTGTTACACTCTGAGCAAAACCCTGACACCCTTCCTTATATAGAAGAGAAACAGATTAAATTTATTATCCAGAAACGTCTGACAGTATATGCAATTTCTTACTTCCCGTACCCTGGTAACGTCTGTCCTTCACTGACTTTCTCATAAACACTGAAGCTTAATGACAAGTTATGAAAGTCATCATTTTTCCTTTATGAAGTATATTGAAAACAAAAGGCATTAAAGTCATTCATATTGATTTGGCAAAGCTATTTTATGCCATTACCACAACATACAAGAATGTATCAGTATACCATAAACAATTACATAGTGATTTCACAACTATACTACTTATTCCAATTAACAAAATACTTCTTTATAAAAAAATCTGTTCAAAAGGTTACATTCACTTCTTCATTTAATACCATAAGGTTGTAACAATGTCACAGTAGGTTCAAAGACAGAAAATTACTTACCTTAAATATCTGTATTCTCCAAAGGCATTACTCCACTTGGATTACTTAAGGTTCAGGCTTCGTGGACAACTTAGAAGGTTTCAGAGCTACTGAACTTCGTATACCCAAGAAAGAGCCAAACTCTCCCCAAAGTCTCCCAATTTTGCTAATCAAGGAGCCCTTACCAAGGTCAAAAGATGCCATGGGATCCACCAGTGAACAAAGACACTAATGATAGGTCACTTAAAATGGGGCTGTTCAAAAAATTCTCATTCCGGGAACGTAGGTTACAGGTAGGTACTCTCCAGCTGACAAATTATATCCAAATGACACAGCTCCAGAAGGATTTCTCAGTTGGTGGAGTAAGAAGAGCTCACTGTGTTTCATGATCTAGCTACAGTCAAGTTCAGAGAGGTGGCTACAGCATAGGGATGGGTTTCTTTTCTGTGACAAAAAGCAAAAGGAGTGAGGAGAGGCTGAGAGACGCCTAGGTTGTTGTTGCATGGACCTCAGCAAGGGTTAACATTTACGTCAGCTGTAGACCCAACGCCCTCAGAGTGTCTGACCTACCATACAGTATACATAGGATCAATTCCAGTCTGGTCCCTAGTTCTGAAGTAATTTTAGCTAGGACGTCTTCAGCAAGACATTATCTGTGGCCTCCTCTTATCATTTCTCTCATAGACTTGACTAAGATTTTAAGCCGTAACTAGATAGGCCAGGTATATTCCTCAGTAGTATTTCTTTGGAGCGGAGAGATTTAAAACTATCAATAATTGGGGGCGCCTGGGTGGCTCAGTTGGTTAAGCGACTGCCTTCAGCTCAGGTCATGATCCCAGGGTCCTGGGATCGAGTCCCGCATCAGGCTCCCTGCTCTGCGGAGAGCCTGCTTCTCCCTCTCCCACTCCCCCTGCTTGTGTTCCCTCTCTCGCTGTGTCTCTCTCTGTCAAATAAATAAATAAAATCTTTAAAACTATCAATAACTGGGCTCTGCGAAGATTCTAATTTAATTGACTTGATTGTGGGGTCTAGACATTATACAGACTTAATTCCTCAGGTAGTAATAATAAGCATCCAGGGTTGAGAACCACTGACAAAAGGTCAGAGTTGGGTAGAATACCTGGGCCTCTTCAATACAGAAGACTAAGTTTGAGACCTGGCATTTTGGCACTCTTGGGGGGGGGGAGGGATTCCGAATCTCTTCACTTGTCATTAAATGAAATGGTCAGGAATATAAGAGCCAAGGATACCACCGTTACTATTGTCAAAGCCCTGCAGTGGTTAAAAAAAAAAAAAAGAAAAAACGGATACCCTGGTTCCCTCTATCACCTGCACGGCTAAACTACCTCAGTAAGAACAAGGGCGGGGGGGAATTTCCAAGGGTATAGAGATCCAGCTTATACTCAGTTCCCTAATACTTTCTGAATTTGGGCCAATGAAAGGAATACCCATTGAGGTAATAGCTAAAGTGTGTCCTTACCACATTCCAATGAAAATTCAGGAAACAGTAGGAGAGAGGAGGAGGGTATGGAGAGTAGTGGAGAGGAATAATAAAAAGAAAGAGGGGTGTAACACTGGGCATGACAGAAACTACTTATTGTAAGTAAGGACATGATTTACACTTTAGAAATACATTTATCCCTGATGGGTCAACTATACAAGGAGAACTTCCTGTTAAGCCTTGTCTTTAAAGGCCTTAGAGGATTACCTCTTCAATAGAGAGAAACAGAAAAGCCTGGATTCTAGCTCCAGTTCTGCCAACAATTAGCTACAGATAACTGATTATGGGAGACTTTTCATTCTATTAATGGATATTTTCCAAGTGTCATGGTCACAAGAGAAGATTCTCAAGTAGTCAAATTTTGCGGATCTATATTACAGCTTCAAAAAACAAGGTAATTAATATTTGACTTTACACTGTATTTTGATGTTTACCTTTGACTGGGGTAAGGTCATATCTAATGTTAAAAGAACTTAAAAAAAAAACCCTCAATTTCTCCATTCTGTCTCCTGCTATGCTTTTCCTTGTTGTTTATGAAAAATTTATGGCTGAATTTGATGTAAATTTAACCCAACTGTCTCATTACAGATAAAGAAACAAATTACTTAATCGTTCGCACAGCTGTTTAACGTCAGGACAAAAGCATTGAAGATGGACAGTCCCACCTACCTAATCTGAATGCCCTCATTCTTGAGGGATTTGATTCATTTATACAGTAAAATAGGCTATCAGGAGATAAGCCCAAACAGTGAGAAAAAAACTTTTATGATGCTTGTTTGGCTACATGAAGGCAGCTACCTCAGGATGAAGGGGCAGCAAAAAATGGAAAAACAGTGTAACCCATCTCCCAGATACATCTAAAGACCGACCTTCCGAAATTATGCCAGGCCATGTTATTTCTAAAACAGGTGATGATTAAAATAGCACCATTAAGGTGAAACTGGGTACTTGAAAGGCAAGTACCTTTTCAAGGCAAGCCTGCCAATTTGGGGAATAAATGATGCTTTGACCTGCCTACCTACTCCTAATCGGTATGAAGGAACAAAATATATTTAATTTGATGGGAATGCAGTAATAATCTACCAAGGATCATATTTCATTCTGAATTTCATTAGGTAACCATTACTAAGCTGAGCTTGTTTTCTTAATGTAAAATGGACTATAATCTTAACTTTTCTCAGCTGCTTGGATGACATACTGTGAAGATACAGAGTAATACTGTATGACACAAAGCAAAAAGTGCTTTGCAAAGGAAGAGGGGGTTCAAAATATTAGGGAATTTCAAAATTCCCAAAAAATTAACTTTTTTTACTATATCATGTCAGGATGTGTTTTGGAGAGACCATTTTTTCCAGTATTAAGGATTATAAAAAGAGTTTAGCAGACAAAGATCAGGAAAACATCAGGTTAAGAAAGTTTAACAACTGTTTTTCACATCAAAATTTCTCAGAGCTTTGAATATAATGTACACCATGACTTTCCAAGATAGAAGGACAAGTGAACAGCACTTTCCCAACTTCCATGACCATCTAACCCTTTTGACAAGGATCAGCTCGGTGGAGCAGTGTTCCATAGAACATACAGAGAAAGAAAACACTCTCACTATATGTTCTTCCTAGTTTCCTATTTGCTCGAAAACTTCTGCTAGAAGAGGAATTTTTTCACAAAAATGTAAATATTTGTAAGCCTTTTAGAGGTTGTCTATTCCAGCTCTAAGATAACATGACTCCAACAGCCAGATCACTTACACATCCTCTTTCCAAAAGGCTAGTACAAATACCTCATCATCAGGACAGAAAATGAACCTTTCAAGTTCTGTAGAAGTCAAACACTCCTTTGTTTCGGGTACAGATATCCGTTACAACAGACAGAAGCTCTTCCCTTGCTGGTCTGACAATACAGTTTTTTTTGTCCTCTGGGCCAGCCAGAATAAAAAGTAGACTTCTGCCATGCATGATTTTACCATTTACCTAGTACTGAATCCCAAACAAAATTTTGTACTTGATTAATACAAAGGATCTTGAAAATAAGAGGCAGCAACCTGAGAAAGGCATGAGAAGGCATGAGAAAAACATGCATAAGAGGCATGAGAAAAACATGACACCAGAAACTAATCTGCTATAGGTCAATTACACCTCAATTAAAAAAAAAAAAGGAAAAACTCTTTAATGTTCTTAAATAGTAACAACAGCTAAAATATTGAGAAATGGTTATAGAATTTAAGTCTAGTACTATTTTTATAGTGCTTATACGAATGTTATAAAGGATCTGGTAGACACCAGTGGCAATGGCAAGGAGTCCTATACAAGTTCTTGAATCTTACAAATGATAGAGGATTACAAGGTGTGGCAATATCTTGCATGGACCAAGACTAGTTACAGTCTTCTGAACAGTGGGTAATAAACCTGCCTACAGATTACATCTAAGAGTTCATTTTACAACTCTTTACTAGATAGTCTAAGCTGTGGGCATGTGTAATGGTTTCTGTGGTCTCAGAGCTGACCCTCTGACCAAATGAGATCAAAACTCTGACTTTATGCTACACCAGAGACAGCCTCTTCCGGGAAAGAGAACAGAAACTTCCTCACAAGGCTTTGGGAGCTGGCAACATGGGTGGGTGGTGGGGGGATAAAGCTCCTCACTAATGAACAGGCTGACAGTGAACACCATGGCATCTATGTGGAACAGGATTTGAAAACATTTTAAACCAAGACCATTCGTAGCTTCTTTCTCCCATGGCTGCAATGTCATAATATTCTAAAGTACTTCAACAAATTCCTGGTGTTTTCCATCTTAAGGGAGCTTACATTTGATAGCTCCAGTGTCCTGCAAAAGGGTTGGAACAGCCCACCTACACCTTATCTGGTATGTTCATCCCTCACCCCCACCTTTGGAGGAGTAAGGTTACTTATAAGCAAATTCAGATTCTCTGAAAGACATACATACTAAGTCACACTGGTAAATAACGTGTGTTTTCTAACAGCTCTTAGAAACTGGCAAGGGGACAGAAGCCTATTACTACCCCCAAACTCACCCACCTTCATATATCTTCATTGACAGAGACATTAATAGCAACAGTAAGTTTATACATAAAGAACAAGTGAGGCAAAGGCAAAAGCAGTGCCAATCTGTCTGATACGTGTAGGCAATGGTGCTTTGATTATACCCGTACAAACACTTCAGTCCCTTTTAGTGATCCCCGACTCAGCTCTCAGGCCACAGATTTTTGCTGTAGAGAACTCAGATGTGATGCAGCCGCTCCAGTAACTCTTTTCACAGTACCACATGTCAATACTGGGAATGGTTTCTAATCAATTTAAACTGAACACAATACTTTAATAGAACAAGAAGTTTATTACTCCCACTCGGTAGTTCCTGGGGGCTTTGATGTTAAGTCATACATAATTCGAGAAATACCAGGAATCTTCTTAATCTCAGTGACCATCTTTAACACCACCTGTTATAAAACAAAGATCATAAATAGAAGAGCCAGGATCCAGCGCATGTCCAACATACTTAGAAGGCTTGCATTTATAATTAAAATGCGATCTACTTTTATTATTCTCTTCTGTGTATATAGTATGGTCTCTGATTAATTTTATGTAGTGAACCTAATTTCCTTCTATAGATTTAAGTGAATTAACTCAGTACTACTCAAAGCGTAGTCTGCAAACAGTTGCCAGTCTGCAAATTATGTTTGTCCTAACAAGTGTTTAGAAACATTTATAGCAATTTGAAATTGCTGTGACATCCAAGCATGTGATACTATATATTAAAAGCCAATGCTTCACATATATTCTGTGGCTGAAACGTACAAGTCCACGGCCAGCGCAGTGGCACATAATGCACTGTAATAACAACCACTACCAAGTGTACACGAGGAGAAGAAGGCCTGGTCACTTGAATGGACAGAGATTTGGCAAATTTGAGCCTAAGGGGAAACAAACTCTAAGCCACAATCCCCAACCTAGCTATCTAGCTATAACCAGAGCCTTGCATTAGAGTACAGAGCAGAGGTCCACCTAATAAAGTCTCACTTTGATTTCATTTGCTACTATGCAAATAGCTGCTCTGGAACACTCCAGGGGAGAGAGAACAGGAGAGGGAGATGGTGATCAAAAATAGCTGGTAGTCAGAGCGCCTGGGTGGCTGTCGGTTAAGCATCTGCCTTTAGCTCACGTCATGATCCCAGGGTCCTGGGATGGAGCCCTACATTGGGCTACCTGCTCAGTGGAGAGCCTGCTTCTCCCTCTCCCTCTGCCCCTCCCCCCCACTCATGCTCTCTCTCGCTCTGTTCTCAAATAAATAAAATCTTAAAAAAAAAAAAATAGTTGGTAGTAGGCAGAGCATTAAGCAATTCATGGGTGTCTAGCCATCATGGTATCAAATCTCATCCATATTTCTAATAAACTCTTCTTCACTACCAGGGTTTTCTCCTTTATTTGGAAAATACTATTTATAAAGTAGAGGTTGGCAAGATTAGAGGTGGTTACTCCACATAGTAATCAGACATCTGGAGGGGTATAATAAATTTAAGATCTTTTCTAGAAAACTACAATAATTATTTTTTTAATTTAAATTCAATTAGCCAAGTTATAGTACATCATTAGTTTTTAATATAATGTTCAATGGTTCATTAGTTGACTATAACACCCAGTGCTTTATTTAATCAATTATGTGGAGATTAAAAAAAAACAATAAAAGCCTAGCGGTGCCTGGGTGACTCAGTCTGTTAAGTGTCTGACTCTTGATTTTGGCTCAGGTCAGGATCTCAGGGTCATGGGATGGAGCTCTGCCTAGAGCCCCGCCCACACACACACCCCTTTCAGGCTCTATGCTTAGTGGGGAGTCTGGCCCTCTCTCCCTCCCTCTGCCCCCCATCCCACGCACACGCATGCTAATAAATCTTTAAAAAATAAAATAAAAAAGCCAATCTTACAAACAGAAAACCAACCCCAGAAATATCAATTTTGTCATAGTCTATTCCAGTCACCATATTATAAAATGTAGGAGATATTAAAAATGTACATGAGAAAAATATGTAAGTTACCTCTACAGGGATTTCATTGCCAGGTGTTGCAGGTATACCAGTCATGAAATCACTAGTAATAAAGGTTCGAATAAGCACAGATCTCTGGCATGAAGGCTGCTTCTGAAGTGGGTCCCGATCAAAATGCAATGGTGTCAAAATCACTGGCATCTGGCTAATTTTCCCAGCATACCCTAGAAAAAGTAAACACGTAGAACCCAATGATCACGCCATGGAAAAAGCACTCTAACCCAGTCCCATTAAATCCTCCCAGATAATATCTAAAATCACATACATAAACATACCAGTTAAGACTGTCATCATGCATTGTTTCCAACTACTGTCGTATCTATAACTAAACTCAACCACAAATACAAACAGTAGAATTTGATGATTGCAGTGATGTTACAGTGATGCAATATATATATAAGTCCATTCTTGTTACTCAAGGTAGTTATGGTCTATACTATAAACACTGAATTAGCAAATTGTAAACCACTGTCCCTACAAGAAATAAAGAGATTCCTGCAAGCCTCTGGTCACAACATTTTCATCAACCAGTCAATACGTAACCTTGTTTTATGTATGTTTCTGTTTAAGGACACCTTTTTTATTCTGGATTCATTAACACTGAATTATAGGCAACAGCACTATTATAGGCAACAGCACTATAATTCATACATAAATAAAGCTTATCTAACCCACATACTTTCTCCATAAGGCACATGACAGCCTTCCTGTGCTCAGAAACCCAAGCACCTCAGCCCTATGACTGGGGGACATTTCAAACAGTAAAATCAGAAATAAGCACAGAAATGCAAAAAACATGCTACTAAATAGACTACAAAAAGGACACTTAAGAGTGAGCAAAAAGAATATCACCTTGTATAACCTCAGCTGGGAACAATAGGAGTCAGGCAACTCAAATTTTTGCTTACATGTACATATCCACAAATGACCATAAAGGTGAAAAATTTTGTATGGCAGGCAGTATCATAGAACTGAATGAATAAATAATGAATGAATAATAAATAAAATAAATAATTAATGAATAATAAAAATAAAAGCATCTAAAAACTCAAACTTGCATCCTCCTAATTAGCAATCATAACGCCACATTTCAAAATTCTAGTTAGAGCATGTAGTAATAAAATGAACAACTTACCAGACTCCCTGAGAATGTTATGGGCCTCAAAGTCAGCTTGGCGTAAAGTACTGAGCACCCCTGTTGTCAAGAAAGTGGGAGTGACATCTGTAGGGGGTTCTTTAACTGGTGGGCCAAATATATAGACAACTCTAGAAGGGGAGGTGAAAATTATAGAGAAATGACAATTTAGTAGAAGAAGCAAGGAACATAGACTACTATTCTTTCCATTAATTCAAGGAACATAGACTACCATTCTTTCCATTAATTCTGAGGCCCCTCTCTTACCCACTTCAAATCACCACATGGGTAAGACAGGATATAGGATTATATATATAGGGGTGCCTGAGTGGCTCTGGCATCTGACTTTGGCTCAGGTTATGATCTCAGGGTCCTGGGATTGAGCCCTGCATCACGCTCCATGCTCAGTGCAGAGTCTGCTTGTCCCTCTACCTCTCCCTCTGCCCCTCCCCCCACTCATACTCACTCACTCTCTCTCAAATAAAATCTTAAAAATAAGATTATATACTTTTTTTTGAAAGAGAGCATGCACATGTCGGGGGGGGGCAGTGGTGGAGCAGAGGGAGAGAATCTTAAGCAGGTTCCACACCCCGCGAATAGTCTAACACAGAGCTCGATCTCACAACCCTGAGATAATGACCTGAACCAAAATCGAGAGTCAGACGCTTAACTGACTAAGCCATCCAGGTGCCCCAGGATATAAGATTATAGAAGGGTCTGTGTTCTTGTGTACCTTCTTGAAAGTGTATTCTTTGGAAAAATAGTATCTCAGAGTATACAAAGATATATGTGATTATCACAATCCTCTTTTCATATGATGTACTGGATTGATACATATCCCCCAAACTTCATGTCCATCTGGAATCTATAGGTGAAAATAGGGTCTTTGCAGATGTAGTCAAGTTAAGATAAAGTCATAATGGATCAGGGTAGGCAAAAATCTTTGAAGGTGTCCTTCTAAGAAGAGGAAAATTTGGAAACAGACAAAATAGAGAGGGCCATGTGAAGATGGCAACAGAGACTGGAGTTATACTGCCACAAGCCAAAGACTGCCAGTAAACGCCAGAAACTAGGAAGGGTCAAGGAAGGATCCTCCCCCAGAGCCTTATGCCATAGAGAGCATGGCCCTGCTAACACCCTGACTTTAGACTTCTAGCCTCTAGAACTGCGAGAGAATAAATTTGTTTTAAGCGTCCTGGTTTGTGATAATTTGTTACAGTACCCCTAAGAAATAAATATACATAAGCCTGGGGAAACACTGAGTTGAACAAATAAATAGGTTGTTTTATGCCAGAACTTCAGAAACTATATGCTAATATGCACTAGAAACCTCGAAGATAAGGCTACAGTGCATTTCCTAAACTTATTTGACTAAATTCTTTTTCACTTTGCAAAACACTGATCTCAAAGATTGATTCTCATTTCCCCATTATTAAAAATGTTACCAAAATGGAACTTGATATCCTACTATTTGCTCCTAAAAGGAATAACTCACTACTTCTTTAAGTAAACATCTGTTTGAAAGATAGGAAGATGCACTGCAGGCGTTAATAAAAGTAACTCTAATAAAAGAACACAGCTTGAGGAAATTAGGATCAGATAATTACAACTCAAGAGAAATCCTACCACTGGTTGGGAGGATCTGTTCCACAACCTTCACCCAGAAAACAAGGGGCAGTCAGGATATAGGTATAAATGCATCCTACCTCTCCCGACTTGGACTCCAACCAGCTCCCAACTGTCCCCTTTCCCTAGCCCTATCTGTCTTAACCAAAGAAAATACATCTCTCTTGGCAACTTCCATGGTGAAGTTTAATAATGCTTTTTTCCTTTTTCTTAATATGTACTTGGAATAAAAACATACAGAAGAAAACAGCATCAGATCAAAACCAAACTACCACCAACTAATTCATTGCCTCCTCCCAAACATATATATAGCAAGTTTTTTCCCATGTATCAAATACCACACTTCTTTTTTTTTTTTTTTAATCAGTTGCATTTTTTTTTTTCCTCAAAGATGTTATCTATTTATTTGACAGAGACAGAGATAGTGAGAGCAGGAGCACAAGCAGCAGGAGTGGGAGAGGGAGAGCAGGCTTCCTGCCAAGCAGGGAGCCTGATGTGGGACTTGATCCCAGGACCCTGGGACCATGACCTGAGCCAAAGGCAGCCGCTTAACCGACTGAGCCACCCAGGTGTCCCTCAAATACCACACTTCTACTAAACAATACAGTCCCTAGAGTTCATAAATGATCCTTCGAGGAAAAATCAACTAGGAAAAAGAATGCCGTGAACTCGCTCTTTTTGTCTTATTTCTTACAAATAAGAGTGTTCCTAGAATGTACAGGAATAAGTACTCTTTCACATTGTACAGGACAGTAAAACTGGAGCAGACACTCTCTATACAAAGAGTCCACAATGCAAATTAAGAAAAAATTTGGCAAAAATAGAAAAAAATGTTTTAACTGTTTAAATTCCAATTCCCAAAACAGACCCTGGTAAGGAAATCTAAAATTCACCAAGACTCTTAAGGGCTTGCTAGGTTAGTATTTTAAAAATCTATTTTTTGGGCGCCTGGGTGGCTCATTTGGTTAAGCGACTGCCTTCAGCTCAGGTCATGATCCTGGAGTCC